GGGGCATCTGTGCGGGTGACGTGACAGACACGTCGCTTGTGGTGGTGCAGACCACCCGTCCTTGGAGGACTACTCCTACTTCGACACCCTCTACGCCCTCCTTCGCGTGGTGCTCAAGCTGCAGCAGGCGCAGCAGCAGGTCCTCGTCCAGTGGTGGTCCAAGATGCCCCTGACACGGCTGCAGCGGACCCTGCAGATGGTCCAGCAGATGCTCACAAGTAACCAAACCCTCCCCCACGCCCCCTGTGCGTGTCACGTGTCGATGTGTGTGTGTGTGCGTGTGTCTGGGTGCAGTCCGCACCATCGAGGCGTGTGACGGCCACACGGATGGGCACCACGGGCAGCCGGAGCAGGCGGAGCGGTTCGTGGCTGTGGCGGGGCAGCTCGTCAAGAACGCCATCAAGTTCATTCAGTTGCTGTATTCGGCCAACGAGGCTCGTACGAAGGAGTCTTTGTCGCACGAGTCGTCGTCGACCAGTGTGTCGGTCTATCGCACGCCGCCCAACTGGTATTGCTACACACCATACCAGCACCCACACACACAAGCATCCACACACACACGTGATGGTGGGTGCAGTTTGCCGATGCGCGAGTTCAATAACGACGCCATCAACGCCACTACCATGCTGATCAAGCATGACTTCCTGCAGTAGGCGAGAGCGAGAGGGGGACCGTGAGCTCGTGTGTCCATCCATCTGTTGATGTGTGTGTGTGTGTGTAGGTGGATCCAGGGAGAGGAGCTAGACCTGGGCCTCATGGACCACCCCTTCCTCCTCGATGCCGCGTCAAAGGCCACAGCACTCAAAGTAACCCGACCGGCCTCCTTTCTCTCTCTGTCTCCCTAGTTGTAGGTGTGTGTGTGTGTGTGTCTGTCAGTATGACGCCCTGATTCAGCAGAACTTCGAGCGCCGTCACGCCGTGATAGCGGGGCTGATGAACAACAGCCGCACCGTGACGCCCTACCTAGTGTTCCGCGTGCGGCGGGACAGCCTGGTCGAGGACACTCTACGGGCGGTGAGTCACCTGTCGGCTGCGCTGCCCTGCATCCATATGTGTGTGTGTGAGGGTGCAGCTGTCTTCGGGCGGTGTGGAGGACCTCAAGAAGCAGCTCAAGGTGAGTTGAGTTGAGTTGGGTTGACGTCAGTTGATGCGCCGTGCCGTCCGTGGTGCCATCTGTCTGTGTGTGCGGCTATGGCGTGGTTGGTCTAGGTGATATTTGACGGCGAGGAGGGTGTGGATGAGGGCGGCCCGGCCAAGGAGTTCTTTCAGCTGCTGGTGCAGGAGGTAAACACACACACACACACACTAAATCAAGTGGACCCCTTTCTTTGTCCTCCGTGTGTGTGTGTGTGTGTGTGCCAGTTGTTCAACCCCGACTACGGCATGTTCTCGTACGACAGCGACACGAGGTTCTTCTGGTTCAACGCCAACGCACTCGAGGCGAACATTCAGGTGAGTCATTGTGTGGATGCGCTTGACACTAAGTGTGTGTGTGTGTGTGCGTGTGCGTCTCAGTTCGAGCTGGTGGGCATCGTGCTGGGCCTCGCCATCTACAACGGCGTCATTCTCAACATACACTTCCCACTGGTCAGCCACTCACACACACACACACACAGACGACAGACGACACAACACATCCATCCATCCATCCATCTGTGTTTGTGTGTGTGTAGGCGGTTTACTACAAGCTGCTGCTGCTAAACCTCTCCCCCAGAGCGCACCAGCTGCAGATGCACAACAACCCCATCAAACTCCTGGGAGAGTTCATGCCGAACGTTGCCAAGTTAGCCGCCACACGCTCCCACCACAGAGAGAGAGAGAGAGAGAGGGAGAGGTGAGAATGTGTGTGTGTGCAGGGGGCTGGAGCAGCTGCTGGAGATGTCGCAGCCTGATGACGTCACAGCACTCGGGCTCGTCTTCTCAACCTACCAGGTACTCTTATCATCCGTGTGTGTGGTGTGATGCGCATGGCGGGGTGTGTGTGTTGACAGGAGAGGTGGGGCGAGATGGTGGAGGTGCCGCTCAAAGACAACGGGGGCAGCGTGGCCGTCACCATTGACAACAGGGAGGAGTACGTTGACCTTTACGTGGACTGGCTGCTCAACAAGTCCATCGAGGACCAGTTCAAGGTCGGTCGGTCAGGCAGGAAGACAGGCAGGCAGGCGGGCAGGCAGCGTAGCCCACCCCCACACAACGAGAGACCACGTATCCTCCTATGCGCACCCATCCCGCATTTAGGCGTTTCATCGCGGTTTCCATCGTGTGTGCGGCGGGCGCATCCTGGAGCTCTTCGCGCCAGAGGAGCTCGAGAGACTCATGTGTGTGAAGATGCGTAACCATACACACCACACACACACACACACATCTCATCTGCCTGAATGTGTGGCTCACATGCAGCTGTGGCTCGACTGACCTGGACTTCCAGGCCCTGGAGAAATCTACTAGATACGGGGTCTAGCTTCCATCCATCCATCCAATCGGCACACACACACGTGTGGTGTGTGTGTGTGTGTGTGCGTGTGTTATAGGATGGGTTCACGCCCGATAGCGCGACGGTCAAGCGCTTCTGGGAGATCGCACACCAGCTCTCCACCGACGACAAGAAGCAGCTCCTCGCATTCGCAACGGGTATGTACCTCCACACCCTCACACCTTCACACACCACAGACACACGCGCTGTCTGTCTGTCTGTCTGTGCGCGTGTGTGTGTGTTGACAGGCTCCGATAGGGTGCCGATTCGCGGCCTCGCGAGCCTGAACTTCGTTATCCAGAGGAACGGGCCGGACTCAGACAAGTAAGGGTGGGCGTGTGTGGCGCGGTGTTCTACACGTGTGTGTGTGTGTGTGTGTGCAGGCTGCCGACGGCCATGACGTGCTTCAACGTGCTGCTGCTGCCGGACTACCGCACCAAAGGTACCATCCCGACGGCAGGCAGCGGCGTTCGTCACTCTCTCTCTCTCTCTCTCTCTCTGGTCCATCTCTGTGTGTGTGTGTGTGTGTGCAGAAAAGTTGGAGCGGTTCCTGAAGATCGCCATCCAGAACGCTCAGGGGTTCGGCCTGCAGTGAGTGTGTGTGTGAGTGAGTGAGCGATTGATTCCTTCGTGGAGTGGGGGGCACGGCCTATTTGTTAGTGTCTGCGGATCTGATCTATCAGATCGGTTCAGACAAGGTCAGAACAGCCAGCCGCCAGTCAGTCAGTCGGGAGGCCTTCTTCTTATCTTGCTGCCGTGAGTTAGTTTGGGTGCGGGTGAGAGGGGGAGGGTGAGAGGAGGTGAGGCGGGGGGGTGGGTTTCTGTCTGTCTCTTTCTGTCTCCCCATCTCGCGTCTATCGCATTCCGTCTCTGTGTCATTCCGTCTCTGTGTGTATGTGTGTGCGTGTGTGTCCGATTTCTATGTTTCCCCTCCCGTCTGGACTGACTGACTGACTGGTTGATGAGACCATAAACGGTCCCCTGATCAACCAACTGACTCCGACCCCTCAGGAAAGCTTCAAGCTGCTGTTTAGGGTTTTGACAACAAACCCTACACCCCAAACCCTACTCCCCAAAGCAGAATAGAAAAGCTCGCCGGGGAGAGGGCCTGCCTCCGCCCTCGTGGTGAAGGATTTGTTCGTGCTGCTGAAGAGAACCTTTCATCTAGCGAACACCACTGTCAAACTGGGTGATTTGTTCTGAATCAGTCGCCGTCCGGGCACATCCGAGTGTCCGCCGCCTGCCGCCATGGACGAGATGCGAGGTGGGCGAAGATCGCGCGATGCACGTGTGTGTAGAACGAGACATGCCATGCTTGCCTGCCTGGATCTGTCTGTCTGTTGTCCGTGTGTTGTGTGTCTGTTGATGTGTCTGTTCTGTGCGTGTGGGTGTCTGTCTGTAGCGATGTTGGATTCCCTGATGGGGAAGGACCGCAACGCGAGCATCAACGAGCGAAAGAAGAAGAGATCTTCCTTCAGAGACCCGGAAGTGCGTGCGCGCACGTCCAGAGCAGACGCAGACAGCGCGTCAGTCAGTGTGTCCGTGCCTGCGTGTGTGTGAGAGTAGGTGTGCAAGTGGTACCTGCTCGACTTCTGCCCGCATGAGCTCTTTCCCAACACCAAGAGCGACCTCGGGCCGTAAGCACTGCACTGCACTCACAGGTTGGCACCTTCTCGCTTGTGTGGATGGATGGATGGCTGGATGGCTGGATGGCTGGGCAGGTGTCCAAACATCCACTCTGATGCGCTGCGGGAGGCGTTCCTGGCGGACCCTGAGCACGACGCACTGCAGGTGACTGACTGTGACACACAGACACACACAGACACACGGCACCATGTGTGTGAGCGGCATGCAGGCTCAGTATGAGGAGGACTTTGCCAAGGTGCTGCAGGAGCTGGTCGACCAGGTCGAAGCCAAGATCAAGAAGGGCAACCAGCGGATTGTCGCCCCAATACCGGTGCGCACGTGTGTGTGTACCTTACGACAGATGCGCCACCTCACGTGTGTGTGTGTGTCCACAATACACGAACGACACAGGAGGCCACTCTTCCCGAAGACAAGCAGCAGCGCGTGAACGAGCTAGAGGTCCCCATCCCATCACACCACAGGGGGGCGAAAGTGGTGTACGTGTGTGCCTGTGTGTGGGGTGTGGGGAATGCGTGCAGGCGCGCATCAGCGACCGACTCAAGAAGGCCGAGGAGCTCGCTGAGGAGGCAAATTAAAACTCACCCACACATGGATGGATGGATGGATGGATGGATGGACGGAATCAGTATCTAGCCGTTTGTATGTGTATGTGTGTGTGTGTGTGTGTCCACAGGGTCGCATCAGCGAGTGCGCGTTGTTCCACCAGGAGATCGCCACCTACAAGGACGAGATCGAACGCATCAAAGCCACGCCCTTCGACTCGTACATCCGCAAGGAGACACAACTCAGGGTAGGGTATGTCTGTGTGAGGCGGCATGGTCATCTCGTCCACCGACACGCACACACGCACATCCTTGTTCGTGTCGGTCTGTTTTTCAGGTGTGCAATGTCTGCGGGGCGATGCAGTCACTCGGTGAGACCACCCGACTAACCCCCTCCCCCCCACACACACTGTCACTGTGGGCGACTGCCATGCAGCTGATTCGATGTCGCGTTTCGAGAGCCACGTGACGGGCAAGCAGCACATGGGCTACGAGAAGATTCGCGCATACCTTGCTGAGATACGCAAGAGGCAGGAGGTAAAGCACCGATAGAGTGCCGTGCCGTAACCCCGTCGCGCGTGTGGGTGTCATACATATCAGGAGCGCAAGAAGGACGGTGTGAATGGCGATGAGGCCAAGAGGGCGTCGGAGGGGGACAGGGAGAGGGACAGGGAGAGGGACAGGGGTGAGGAGAGAGAGGGCGAGGGCGGCGGCAAGAAGGGCGAGGCCATCAGTACGCACGCAGCTCACAGCAGACAGAGCGCTACACCACACCACGCCACGCCACACGAGTGCATGCCCGTTCAAATCTTTCATTCGGCAGATGGCGATCGGAAGGAGAAGGAGAGACACCGGAGCAAGTGGGCGATCTCCACAGATGGATGGGCAAGACACGAACGACTGACTGCATGTGTGTGCATGTGACGTCATGTGTGTGCAGGGACAAGGAGAGGGAGAGGGAAAGAGACCGTGGCTACGACGACGATCGGTACCGAGACAGAGACCGAGACCGAGACCGAGAGAAGGACAGGGACAGGAGGTATGTCTGTATGCCAGCATGTTTGTGCACCCGCCCCACCTCTGCTCATACCACAACACAACACGACACAGCACACGCGCGTGTATCTGTTTGTCTGTATCTCTGTTGTGTCAGGCGCTCCAAGGACCGTGAGAGGCGACGCGATCGGTATGTATGCCACCTGGCATGGACGAACACACACGTGCACAGCATGCCATGCCGTAGATGGATCCGTGTCGCATCCATCCATCCGTCCATTTCCATTTACGCAGCTCCCGTTCATACGACGACAACGACGACGACCGGCGGTCCCGGGACCGACACAGAGACAGGGACCGAGACCGCGACAGAGACAGGAAGAGGTCAGCCAGGTATACCACACGTGTGCGTCTGAAATGCGCCATCTGTCATCTGTCATTGCATTTCAGGTCTCACTATCGTGACTACGATCGTGACCGTGACCGTGACCGCAAGAGGGACCACCGCCGCTACGATGACGACGAGGACGAGTACGACAAAAGGCGAGACAGGGAGAGGGAGAGGGACAGGGACAGGGACAGGCGGAGGGATTATGACGACGACGACGATCGCGACCGGTGAGGTTATGGAGGGGCGGTTGGGAGGCGGGGGGCTGTGTTGATGTGTGTGTGTGTCTGTGTTGCTGGATGGATGGATGGATGTGTGCAGGGAAGACCGCCGTCGGTCCAAGTCCAAGCAGAAGCGCAGTGGGGAGAGGCACAGATACGACGACGACTATTGAGCAACGTGCCGTGCCTGTGTGCGTAGCCAACTGTCCACATGCAGTCAGTGCATCCATTCTCCTGAGCTGCATGGCATGCAGCCAGTGGGTGCTGACCGACATGAAATGAATGAAGGAATGGCTTGTATAGCTGGATGGATGGATAGTGATGGAAGGTTGGTTCTTTCGCTGCACACACACACACACACACACCCCTACCTGTCGGTCAGTCAGTTACCATATGGCCGGCCGGATGCATCAACAAACAAACAAACAAACAAACAAAGCAGCAGCTGCTGTACACTTACCAAACCAAACCAAATCTAACCTAACCAAACAAGTCAGGCAGGACCAGTCGAGTCGAGTAGTACCATTGTCTGTGTGTCTGTCTGTCTGTCTGTCTGCCAGCAAGCTGCCAGTCTGTCTGTCTGATCTACACAACCTGACCTGTGCGCACCTGTGCGGCCAACCAACACACTCACATGCTACCTATTCCACACACGCATCGCATCCACACAGAGAGGAAAGCTCAACACAGCCATCAATGAGGTGTCATGTCAGCCAGCCAGGTTATCCATCGCCATTCCTGGCTGCAAGTCAGACAGATGAGCTGCGGCTCACCCACCCCAGCCGTCCACAGCGAGAGAGTAGTAGTAAGAGCATTTATTCAGCGTAGAGTAGAGAGAGAGACACCAACCACACCAACCACCACCCATTCACCGGTCTTGGTCGTCATCCATCAGTGAGTGAGGTACACACACACACACACACACACAATGAACATTTGTCCCCTGGCAGACAGACGGACGGACAGGCAAGCAGGCAGACAGAGAGACCGGTCAGTCAGTCCATCCAGTCATACCCAACGGATGGGAGCGATTCACTCACACGCTGACTGACTGACTCATAGAGAGAGATGGATAGGTATTCCCACCAGACAGAAACTAGCAATCACGCACAGCGAGAGCATGAAAGCAAAACTCCCGCCGGCCAGACAGCAGACAGACAGACAGTCGGCCAGACAGACCACAAGAGCCCACCATTCATTTCATTGAGCACACAGCACCTGGTCAATCGACATACGGCGGGATGGACCGACCACACAGCACAGCACAGCACAGCACAACAGCACAACAGAGCGCGCACCATATGAGCGAAGAAGCCATCCAGTCAGTCGTGTCTGTCTCATCTGTGCTGACCGACCTGTCCACTGATCACTGGTTCGTATGAATCTGTGTGTGTCTCAGAAATCGTCGAAGAAGGCCGACTGGTCCTTTGGCGATATCGATGGCGCAGACGCTGCAGTCAGTGCACATGGGAGGAGCGACAGACAAACGACCAACCAAGCGGTCATCCACACTTCCGGCGAGACGAGACTTGGTTGTCATGCGTACCTTCGGTTGATTCTGGGTATTTGTCGAAGAGGCTGGTGTCGTCGGGTGCCTTGATGGTCGGGGTGAAGGGAGGGGGGAGACCACGCGCAAACACCACGTCCCAATCGGTCCCCTTGTACCTGCAGGTACACGCAGACGCACACCCAGAGAATGCCGTCCGGTGCGCATGTGGATGTGTGTGTGTGTGTGTGTGTGTGTGTGCGACCGTAGCTAATGCGTACCATTTGTGTCGTTTGATGTCTTCGGCGCCGTTTTTGAGGCAGCCGTACCGCTTGGTGCGGTCGTGAGTCAGCAGACGCTTGATCAAATCCTGCATGGGCAGACAGACAGTGACGGTCGCACACATGGGAGGAAATACATACAGACAGACAGATAGACAGGACAGTGTTGGGGGGTGTGTGTGATGTGTGTGTGATGTGTGTGACCTTTGCCTTGACATCGAAGTGTCTGGGGAACTCGATTCTCCCGGCCAGCACCTTCTGGTAGATACCAAAGGGGTTCTCGTCGTAGAACGGAGGATACCTGAGACACACACACACACAACCCCACACAACACAAACATGCCCTCCTCCTTCTCCATGGCCCCTCCCCCTCCCCGCCTCCCTCCCCCTCTCCTCTCACCCCGCGAGCATTTCGAAGAGGAGGATTCCGAGTGCCCACCAGTCGACGCTCTTGCCGTGCCCCTTTGACTGGATGATCTCTGGCGCGAGGTACTCGGGGGTGCCGCAGAGTGTCCACGTGCGGTCCTCGACCACCTTGGCGAACCCGAAGTCGGTGATCTTGATGTGCCCGCCGCTGTCAATCAACAGATTCTCCGGCTTCAAGTCCCTGTACACGATGTTCATACCTAAACAAATAGGATAGACACGGACGGCACATGGATGGGTGGGACGGACACACAGGGAGGGAGGGAGGGAACTATGGTGGCTGGCTGGCCGTCTGTGTGTGAGAGAGTGTGTCTGTGTCTGTGTGTGTGTGTACTGACTGTGCAGGTATTGGAAGGCGAGGATGATCTCTGCGCCATAGAACTTGGCGTGGTCGTTGGGCAGCCGGCCCTCTTTGCTGCAACCAACGAACAAGCCGAAACAACCATCCATCCACCAGAAGACGACGTGATGAGCTCTGACGGGACTAACTGACTGACTGACTGACTGACTGACCGCAGATAGCTGAAGAGCTCTCCTCCGTTGATATACTCCATCAACATAAACAGACGCTTATCGTCTTGAAATGTCGACAGACTGATAGACACACAACAAACCAACAAACAGTCGCTGGCCTGGCCTGAGTTGTGTGCCGGTCGGTATGCATTCACAGCGGCTGGCTGCCATCGCTCACTCACAGGTTCACGATGAATGGGTGTTCGATCATGGTGAGGATCTGTTTCTCGGCCTTGACGTGCTCCACCTGCTTGAGTCGGATGACCTCGCTCTTCTTGAGGATCTTGAGCGCCATCGGCGTGCGGTCAGGGTTGCCCTTGAACTTCACCACGCGGACACGACCAAACGTACCAGTACCTTTGGATGGACAACAAACATCAACCAAACATATGGATCACACACAGCACACAACAGACAGCCGATCCAATACACACAGACAGACACACACGGAGGGAGTCTCATGAATGGATGGATTATAGATGGATGGACGCAATGCGTGTGTGTGAGTGTGTGCGTGTGGACACCTACCGACTGTGGCCCTGAGGTCGAAGTCCTCAAACTTGAGGTTCCGCCCCCCAATGATCTTCTTCAAATCGGTGGCAGACGTTGCGACCTTCTTGCTTGACGACTTCTCCTCTGACAAACACACACACAGACACACGTGGCACAGAGGGGACGTCGGGGGCAGCATGGGGGCTAGGAGTGTTGCCTCTCTCGGGAGCTCACTCCTCTCCTTGTCAGCAGAAGCCGAGGGCCTCTGAGGCTTGTCCTCAGCGTCCACATCAGCCATCGTTGCTTCTTACACCGACCGACCAACCGACAGACAGACAGGCAGACAGACAAGCAGACCAGGGACGTCAGTCAGAGCTCGGCCGGCCCGTGCCTCACCCACTCACTCACTGCGGAGAGCTCTGCTGCTTCACTCACAGGCTAGGGCAGGGCGAATCGGCTCCCCCACACAGACAGCTGGACAGACAGACAGCACCGACGGATGGGAGAGAAGGAGGGAGGGCCTCCTGTGCAGTCACTCGTCGGGGGTGGGGCCACTCAAACCTGCGCCAGCTGTGGCATGGGGCTGATGAATGACCGCTGCCGGGGCACGTCAAAAACCCGTCCGGTTCCTCCCAGGGTAGTTTAGCTCGCAGAGGTGCGATCTCGTCTGAGAGATGATCAGTCGTTGTCCGAGGGACGGCATGAACCGGTCTGCACACCTCCCCTTGCTCTGCGTCATCCCCAACCACTCCAAGTTGCGACATTCCATTCCGAGGGGCCTCGGATCGGCACTCGCCGAGAGCGCAGCTTCTATCCTTTCGTTTGAGCTCACTGGTGTCTAAGGGCCAGCAGTCGCCTGTGTTGCACCCATCTGCTGGTGCTTGGACGATCCCCATCGGTTGATTCATTCATCGCTCCTTGCCCCAGTGGCCCAGTCGCCCATCCCTCCACTGCTCGACAACAGCGCTGTCGAGAGGCCTGGCGTCATTGGATTCCTTTCTCGTCAGCTCGGTCGGCGATTCATCGCATCAAACTCGGTACATCGGTTGGTCTCGCTACTCCATATCGGAAGTGAGGATGCCTCGCGTGCACCTCAGCTGGTAGGCAAGAGGGGGGAGGGAAGGACGGATGTGCAGTGCAGGGGTGCGGACGGTCCGGTCACCTGGAAAATGATTGATGTGTTTGTTGTGTGTTGGCCACACAGTAACGATGGCGTGTTGTTCTTCGCGTTCGCCTACTCGAGCACAGAGATCATCCTCGAATGGGACAAGTTCGCCAGTAAGAAAGGAAGCACCACGCACACGCACACACACACAGAGGCATACAGAGAGAGAGAGGGATGGAGGGATGGAGGGCGGGAGGGAGGGAGAGAGAGGGCGAGAGAATGCGATGCCCCTTGCTGTGTGTCTAATGTCTGTCTGTCTGTTGATGCATCTGTTGATGGATCCATCGACCTATCGAATGGATCAGCGTGCTACCGGCCCATTCAGCTGTGGCTTGTGGTGTCCTACCTGTCGATCCTGCTCTTCCGCGCCGCCCACTACCTGGGGCAGTACCTCAGCGACGACGGCGAGGAGTTCCTCCTCTACACACAGAGAGGCCCGCCCGTGTGGGTCAGCTGGATGATACTCGGAGGACTCTTCCCCTTCTTCACTGCTTGGACCATCGTCGGCACTGTCTGGTTCGCACAACTCAGAGCAAAGACGCCCAACTGCGTGAGTGACGGGCGGGGGAGAGGAGAGGGCTGGAGGTGGCGATATATCGGTCATTTCATTTCGTGTGTTGTGTTATGTTATCTGTTGGTTTGTGTGTGTGTGTGTGTCAGTTGCCTCGCGGCAGCCATCCGTGGTTTCTGATGTTCTGGCTGGGGCTGTGCTACATATGGATCGTCATATACCTCCTTTTCATTTGTACGCAGAGCTGACGTGACGTCACGTGCAAGCAGGCAGTGACCAGACGGACGAGAGAAGGGCGGGGCGGACCGGACCATCTGTGTGTGTGTGTGTGTGTGTGTGTGTGCAGCTGTTGCGGTTGCGCTCGACTACCGCCGGCGTCGCGCCGAGCGGGACCTCAGGCAGGTGGAGGACCAGGACTCACTGAGACGGTGGGCGGGGTGGATGGACGCAGCACACGTCATATCAAAGTGACGCACGGCGGGCTCTTTGTGTGTGCGCGTGCGTGCGTGTGTGTGTGTGTGTGTGTGTGTAGGTGGGGCCAGCTACGGATCTTTGTCGACTACGGCATACATTTGTTCAGATTAAGGGGACTCACACCTGGTAAACAAACGCACCACACAAGGCAGACAGACAGGCCGCACACAGACAGACATTCGCCAAATGCACCCGGACTCTGTGTCGCTTTCTGCTGCTCCTGGCGTGTGTGTGTGTGTGTGTGTGCAGCCCAGATAGAGAGGCTGCCATGTTCAGTGGTGACGGCGCCCCAGCACGAGGGATGCTCGATATGCCTCGAAGACCTCAAGGCACGCGCTGCACTCACCCAACAACCACGCCCACCCACAGACAGACAGAGGAAGCCAGAGCCATTTGCTGGCTGTTCTGCTCGTTCTGCTCTTTGTACGTGCAGGAGGGTGAGACCGTAAGAGTGCTGCAGCAGTGCGGACACGTCTTCCACAAATCGTGAGCCAACACAATAGCTAGCAACACTTCGACGGCTGTGTGGTGTGATGTCTTGTGACGTCCTGCGGCTGCGGTGCAGGTGCATCGACATATGGCTGCTCCGCAATGCGGTGTGTCCATTGTGCAAAATGTCGATACCCGCTGTGGGCACACCGCTGCTAGACGGTCAGTCAGCAACCCCAAGGAACCAGGGAGGGGCACGACGGACGGACGTCGATCATGTCTCACTCACGGCGTGTGTATGTGTGTGTCGGGCAGATAACCGGGGAGAGAGATCGACCACGACTGCTGGGGACGCCCAAGTCTGATCGACCGACCTCGTCTGGTCTCGTCCATGCACGTGTGTGCCGTTACTCGACTGTGTCGGTCTTGCTGTACAGCATGCCTGCCTGCATTCATCCCTTCGATCCTCTTGATGCCTGCAAATCAAATCACTTGTTTGAGGTTTTCCATGCCTGCCAGCAGCAGCACAGAGGCAGGGAGGGAGGGATGGGGGGAGGGAGGGAGGGGTAAGGGGTGGCTGTAGAGGGGGGGAGGGGAGGGAAGGGGGTATTTATTCCTGCTGCGTACCAGTTTTTTGGCTGGGTAGTGATCGCACTTTTACAATGGGGGGAGTCGCTGCTCATTTCTCCCTCCTCACTCACTCTTGCGGGCAGACAGACAGACAGACAGACAGCCGAGTCGGTCGATCGGATGAGCGGCTGGCTGGCTGGCTGACTGCATGTTGATGGCAGGCAGGTGTGCATATGAATGAGTCAGTCAATGGTCTCAATGGTGTCGTCAGGCACTGTGTCTGTCTGCGTGTGTGCTTGCCCGCAGCTGAGCTTTCGTGTGCGTGTGCGTGTGCGTGAGACTGGAGACTTCCTGTCGATGGACGGACGCATGATGGATGGATGCCATTTGTGATGGCATCACGTTCACTTCAGTGCAACCAAAATGTAGCTAGCTGTGCGTTCTTCCCGCCTCTCACTCAGCCAGTCGACTGACACACCCTCCCTCCCTCCCTCCACCCAGTTATCAACACACCCACACAATACGCCCCTACCACACCACACCCACTCGCCTCGCTGCTGAGACACCTGTGCCTTCTTCGCTCGGTGTTCCTCTGCCTGACTGAGGCTAGGGCGACTCCCCTTCTCACCCTCGAGAAGCAAAGCAGCCGTTGCCTCCACGGACCAGAGGAAGAACCAAAGCGATGCGACCACCACACCGCACCACATGTACCAATCTCAGGTGGACCTAAAGAACCCCGCTAGCTACGAGAGAAGGGCGGCCCTGCCGGCCATTCCTTTGTCGCCGTCTTGCTCACGGCGCGTTGAGGGGCTTGCCATCGAAGTTATTGGCGATCCGCAGCAGCTCCCTCCCTGCCCTCTGCTCAGTCGTCAACTCATCATCACTGGCGCCCTCCACCGGCGTGAACAGTGGCGTCAGTTCCCGCATCGTCACGCCTACCCGCCGCCCAATGATGTGCTCGCGCCGGATCTCGTGACGCCACACCTGCCGCGCAGGCCCGTCCACAACGATCAGCGACCTTCTCGGCATCGGCACCGCAACCCCGTAATCGCTCGTCGTAAAGGTGAGATAAGAGTTGCCGACAAGGCTGACGGTCACGAGTCGCTCGCCCCACAGCCACGCGTCATCGAAATGGGGGTCGATGGCCGCGCCTCTCTCTATGCGGTAATCGAGGTTGCAGAGCTCGACGGGAGCGAACGAGTGGAGTAGGGCGGCAGTGTGGGGGTGGGTGTGGAGGCGATGGACGATGGACTGGCTGAAGGAGGGCAGGCCGGTGAACCGGTCCCATTTCAACTTCTGTTTCTTGAAATTCACATTCGGCCCGAAGTCTTGTTTCAGCCGGCCTGCACAACACAACACAACCACAGACATCACGTCCATTCGTCATCTCTGAGGCAAACTCATCGATCGTGGGTATGACTGATGCCTACATACCAGATTGCGATGCCGTCCACGGCCACCTGTCCATCTCTTCGATCATCTGCCGCTCCTCCGCCTCACTCACGAAGTCCTTCACCAGTGTGACGCCGAACGGTTCACCACCCATCCCCCCTCTCCCTGTGCACTCACCATGCGGCCATGGTGCCACCAGGACTCTCCTCTCTTGGCAGCTGCCTTCCCGCTGGCACTCGAGCATCCGTCCATCGTCCACAAGGAGCTCCGCCTTCCCGTCGACGCGCATCATGTGGCCGCATCGCCAGCATAGGGCAAAAGACACCCGATCTCGAGATGTGCAGGCTGCTTGCTGCTTTGAGGCCTCGCACAGACGACATGTCCGGACTCCTTTGCAAGAGCAGGAAACCTTCTCATCCATCAGCGTCGTCGCCACTCCCTTGACCTTTTCCTTCCCTTTGCCGAAGAGCTCGCAATGGCGAGCTTGCGTGAAGATCTTCACTCCTGCAGCCATGCTTGATTTCCTTTCTCTTTGACGCACGTCGCCTAGGCTCATTGATTTCGGAAAGATCCCGCCGGCACGTCTCTCCTTGTCCGCGTTGAGGTGGTCTCGTGCTGCGCCCTTGCTACCCCCCTCCCCACACAGTGACTGACAGCTGACTGACTGATGGATACCTCATCCACCACCTACCACGCCAGCACCACCACGCACCAAGCAGCCGACAGCTCGGCGCAGGGCGCGCAGCAGCAGCCACTGGCGGAACCACCCTGCGCGGAGATTCAATCTATCAACGGCCACGGAGAGCCGTCCGGCGAGACGCCGCCCGAGTTGGAGGCTGGCGGATCTGTCAGTGCGGGCGGGCAGCTCAACGGCACTGCTGGTGGCTCAGACGACGCGCTCACGACGGCGCCCGTGAGCACACAGCCGACGGAGGGGTTCCCTGACGGCGGGGAGGTAGTGGAGGACCGCTACAAGACCAACGGGAAGGAGGGCGAGGAGGGGGGGCATGCAGGACATGCACAGCAGCAGGGGGCGGGAGGTGGGGGAGAGGGCACACAGGGGAGCGACGGGGGCATCGAGACAAGCAAAACCAAGGTACACAGACAACACACGCACACAAGGCGACCGACACACACCGAGGGAGGGATCCATCTGTCTATCGGTCATGAGACGAGACAACCAATCTCTCTCCTCTCTCTCTCTGTGTCTGTCTGTGTGTGTGTGTGTGTGGTTCATTCATTCGTTCAGTTGATCATCAACTATTTGCCTCAGAACGTGACGGAGGACAAGCTGCGGAACATGTTTAGTTCGGTGGGGCCGGTGGAGAGCTGCAAGCTGGTCGTCAACCGGGCGACCGGCTACAGCTACGGCTTCGGATTCGTCAACTTCTACACGTCGGAGGACGCTGACAGGGCCATCGAAAAATTCAACGGAATGCAAATCGAAAACAAATACATCAAGGTACGTAACGAATGACCGACCGACCTACCTACCTGACACTCGGCCCTCTCTCCCCTTATCACACGCATCTCCCTCTCTGTGGGCTCTCTCTCTCTCTCTGTGTGTGTGTCCCTGTGCTATCGCTCAGGTGAGCCACGCGCGTCCACAGAGCGACGCCATCAAGGGTGCGAATCTGTACATCCGCAACCTTCCGGCCGACACTGACGAAGACAAGCTGCGGTCCATCTTCGGCCGCTACGGCACCATCATTCAGACCAAGATACTCACCGACAACAGGGACGGGTCGGCACCTGGGCAGCCGGGAGGCCTGGGGGACATCAAGAAGACCCGCACGGGGTTCGTGAGGTACAACCTCAGGAAGGAGGCGTCGGACGCCATACAGAACCTCAATGGGGTCACGCCCGCGGTGCGCACCGCACACTCAATCACACACAGAGCAAAGGGCGAGGCTGATAGTTGGATGTGTATGTGTGTGTGTAGGGTTGGACTGAGCCGCTGATGGTCAAGTTCGCTGATCAGCGTGCGGCCGCCAACAACCTGAGAGGCCAGCGCCCCCCCAACCCCTACGGCTACCCCCTCTCTGCCGGCGGCCCCTCTCACTCACACCCGGTGGCCCACCGGCCCGCAGCCACCCTCCCACCCTACGGCGTCTCGTCATTCGACCCACGCACCCACGCACAGCCCCACCCCAGGCACACAGCGGTGCCGGGGGCCTTCATCACACCACAGGCGCAGCCGTACCCGGCACACCCCGCCCACCCACACCACGCGCAGGGCGCGCCGCCGCCCAGTGCTGGCTTTGTGGCACTGAGGCCGCGGGGGCCGCCCGCTGCCTCCCCGCCCGCCAGCCCGCAGAGCCCCGTGCTGTTCGTCTACAACATCGGTATGTGTGCTTGCTTGCTGCACGGGCATGGCTGGGTGATGAGGGGATGAATCATTCTTGGTGTGTGTGTGTCTGTGTGTGTGTGTGTGGTCAGGTCCTTATATGGACGAGAAGGGTTTACTGTCGTTGTTCGGCCCCTTCGGCCGCGTGACCCGCGTCGACGTCATCAGGGACAGGACCACCAACAAGGGCAAAGGTACGCACGCAATCGCGCCGCAATATGTCCCGCCCGATGTGTGCTTGTGCTGACTGACACGTTTTAATGCAGGCTACGGGTTTGTGACGATGGCGACGTTTCAGGAGGCGTCTTTTGCCTTGGAGCACATGAATGGCTTCTACCTGGGCGGCCGGCAGCTGCAGGTGTCCTTCAAGACGTCACGATACGACCAAATGACCGCTGAACAAAGGTAGGTCGGTCATCGATGGATGGTTGGATGGACGGATGACATCAGCACAGCACACTCATGGCTGTATGTGTGTGCATGTGTGTATCAGTGCTCCCCAGGCATACCCCAGCTACCCCCACTTTGGTCAGGCCACCATCATGACCTGACCGACCGACCGACCCACCAACTGACCCACACGAGCCCCCTCCCTCCTCCCCCCTCGCATCGCCCTGTCTGTCTATCCATCTCTCTCTCGAGCGCGTGCGCGCGTCCTATCTTTCGCTCTTTCGCTGCCTGCCTAGCTTCCCTGTCCGAGCGTAGAGTGACAAACGGCTGGATGGATGGATGGACAGGCAGACCTGCCTACCAATCGACGAGAGAAAGACGATTGCAATGACTGAGTGACAGAGTGACTGACTGGAGCTTGGGAGTGGGTTTGTTTCAATGGGGAGAGGAGAGGAGAGGGATCGGGGATGGATGGGTGGGTGGATGGATGGGTGGTATCTATACGCCGATCAGATAGTCGCTGTAGCATTACAGGGGCGGGATGGGGTGGGTGGGTGGGTGGATAGGCGTAGGAGGGCGGAAACAGAGAGCTGTGATGCATCGGTGGTGGGTGGTGGGGTGGGTATCCCCTCTCTCTCTCTCTGTCTCTCTGGCTGGCTGGCTGGCTGGCTGGCTGGCTGATTCCCCCCATCCATCACATACACACACATACGTGTGTGTATGTGTGAGGAGACAGCAGGAGGCAGGCAGGCAAGCAGGCGTCTTGGTAGGTAGGCCGACCTCGGCCGTCATCGATGGTAGTCTCCACTCTGGTGACCGCCAGCAGGCCGGTCAGCTAGCCAGCCGGCCAGCCAGCCCCTTCACAGCCACACATGCTCACACTCACACCCATGCACACATCTACTACTACATACCCACCCCCCACACACACACATCCCTCTCTCCTGGCTCCGTGTGTTGTGGGTCGGTCGGTCTTTGTCGACGGTTGGATGGATGGATGGATGGCCAACTGGAGGGAGGGGGCAGGAGGTCGGTCGATGTGTCCGAAAGAGAGAAACAGAGAGAAGCGAGAAGGACAGCAAGACAGAGACAAAGAGAACGAGGCGATATGGGATGGATGGGGAGGGGCCGGCGGTGGGGGGAAGGGTGGGGGTACGGGTGTGCCTGCCTTCATGCATCAGGTCCATTTCTTTCTCGCACAGGCGAAATGCTGTCTGTAGAACGAACAAACAAACAACCACGCTGTCTGTATGGTATGTATGTGTGTGTACAGGGGTCAGGGGGGTCAGTCAGTCCTCACGCTTTTTTCCCTTCGCTCGCCTTTTCCTTTCCACCTTTTTCCTTTCCCGCCGACAAGGGAATTTTCTCCCACGCGGTTTTCCTTTCTTTTCCTTTCCTTTCCCTGCTTCTCTTTAGGTTGGGTTCGTTTTTCCTTTCATCGTCGTCTCTCGCTGACGGGACGCACGACTTCTCGTCGTCTCTTCGTTCGGTTCTTTCTAACCTTTCTTTCTTTCTTTCTTTCTTTCTTTGTTTCTACGTGGCTTCGTGTGATGTGTTTCATCATCTTTTCCACGAGTGTTGCGTTGCGTTGCGTTGTGTGGTTTCGTTGGTGTCATTTTTGGTCAGGGGACGGGACGGGGAGGGCGATAGAGGCAGGTCGGTGTGGTCACTCATGGTGGGTGCGGTGTTGCGGCGAATGAGAGCTCTGTGTCGACGGGACGGCTGGTGGTGGAGTGGATCGGAGTTTTGTTTAGCTATCGATTCTATCTTCTGCGTGTCTGTCTGCGTGTGTGCGTAGGAAGGGAGCCCTCCCTCCCTCCCTCCCTTGTTTCATTGCTCTCACCATCCATCCACACTTCCACCAACCCAGCCCTTGTCGATACCTGCCACGCCAGCCACGCCACCCCATGCCGCGCGCACACCGTGGCGCCCACATACATGACGACTGTATGTCTGCCTGTCTCAGAGGCAGACAGACAGACCTGCCTGCCTGCCTGCCTGGTTTCGTTCTGTCGCTTTCTTCTTCCCTGCCGACCAATTCGTCCTTCCTTCTGTCTGTCTGTGTGTCTGTCTGTGTGTCTGTCTGTCTGCCTGTCTATGCAATTGAGTCACAGCTGCATTCCTGCCTGCCTGCCTGCCTGGCTCCTTGTTCATAGCATGACATCATCATGCCAACAGCAGTTTTGTTTGTTTCTTTCGTTCGTTGGTTCGTCCATCGTCACTCACACGCAGACACACTGATAGATAGCCCGGTGCCACTTAGCTGGCAGTGTCGCACGCAGTTCTGTGTAGTCAAGGGGGGGCGGGCGGGTGTTGGGGAGGGAGGGGGGCTGCTCGCTTGTGTGAGTGTGAGTGTGTGAGTGAGGCTGTCTGAGTGCGCTGCGTGGCTATTTATGTAAGCAAAGTACGGCTCTATCGCCTTCTCTCTCTCTCTCTCTCTCTCCCCTCCCCTTTGTTGGATATGTACGCCAGATCGATCCACTGCTACGCCTCTCTCCTCCCTATTCCATCCAAGCTAAGCTGGCGCGTTGCGTTTTCCTTTCTAATTTCCCTCATGAGTGTGCCTGTCCAGCACACACTGCCTGCCTGCCTGCCTGCCTGGATGAGTGGATGGTTGGATGGATGTGTCGGTCCCTCTCTGCTTGCTGCTTTGCTCGCTTGTGCGTGTGTGCGTGTGTGGATGTGTCCTGGATCGATGGTGACGGTACGTGCGTGTCGATTGGTCGGTTATATATGGAGTCAGTCAGTCACTTGAGTCACTTTGCTTACTTACTGCTGGTTCATTCATTCCTTCGCTGCCTCCTCCCTTGAGTCGTTAATCGTTCGTTCGTTCGTTCCCACCCCACCCCACCCGCCACAGCACGCACCGTCCCGCGGTCCCACCTTCCGTCATTTTTCCACGCAGCACTCACTGACTAACTAACTCGGCCAGACCGACAGACAGACAGACAACCAACCGACCTCTCTCGCCTGCCTGCCTGCCTGCCTCTCCCTCCCTCCCTCCCTCCCTGCATCGACTCTCTCTCTCTCTCTCTCTGTGCGCGCGTTGCGGGCGATGTGTGTGTTGAGTGAGTGAGTGGTTTGATTGAGTGGGTAGGGTCCTTTCATCTTTAGGCCGATTTACTACTACTTGCCCCAGCCGACGAATCCGTCCACCAGATTGTGGACCACAGCCAGGCAGGCAAGTCGGGAGGCAGGCGGCGAGGGAGGGGAGGGAGGGGGACCGGCGGATGGGTATGGGATGGATGGCGAGGCTGATTGATGTCATGAATAAACGCACCCAGCTACCGCACCGCAAGGCTCATTTTTAAGAAGCTGGCTGATTGGCCGGATGAATGGATGGATGGACGGATGGTTTTACACGCGTGTGTGTGGTTGTGCGGTGGGTGGGTGGCTGTGTGAGCGACCGGGTGGGCATCTTTCCACTTACTCCTCCGTGTTTTTCATTCATTCATCCCCTGTGTGTGTGTGTGTGTACATTGGTTGCCGTGCACGATGGCCATGGAGGGCCTCCTTTCCAACAAAGGGTCTCCCTCCTCCTCCTCCCTCCCTCACTCCTCCCTCACTCCTTCCTCCCTCACTCCTTCCTTCCTTGGTCTTACTTAATCCGCCCATACATATCAATCAATCGTGATTTGTCCGAAAGTCTGTCTGTCTGCCTCTGTCTGTCCATCCGCCTCTGTGCGCTGCGCGTCGTTGCATGGTTGTCGTGTCGTCTCATGAGCGGGTGGGGGTGGGTGGGTGGGCAATGATCGCAGAACCTACCATGACTCGCTGCTGCGTGCGGTTCCATGTGTGTGCGTGTATGTGTGTATACGTGTGTCTGTATGGCAGCTGCCTATCATTTTTCAGCAGCCAGAGAGATTGCCACGAAGGACAGACACGTCACACCAACACCAACACACACGCACGCGGCACGGAGGGCAGGGAGGGAGGGAGAAGGGGGGGAACGGATGGCTGGCTGGCTTCGCTTGAAAGACACACCCATGATGTGCCCAAAGAGAGAGCTTTCGATGAGCTGCCTTCTTCGCCCTCCCCCGCCCCCCCTGTCTGTCTGCCTGCTCGTCGTCCGTCTGTATGAGTCCGTCCATGAGTGCGAATGAGTGGAGTCGATCGACTGACTGACTGCGACGAGCCTCACGAGTGTTGCCCGCTATTTTTCCAAGCATCCCGACACAGGCACGGCTGGCTGGCTGGCTGGCTGGTCGGTTGGTTGGTCGCTGCACGTGGTGCTGTGGTGTGCATATGTACCGATTGGTTGCGCTGCTCCGCCTGATGGATGGACGGATGGATGGATGGTCACGATGGTCTTGTCGATACGATACGTGCGTACGTAGCTGTCCACCAGTCCTGCTGCCACGCTCACCCCTAGTGCCCCCACACTCACTCCCCCCTCCCCCCCTCACACAGCCCATTGTCATGTTTATGTCAACACACACGCACACGCACACACACACCCACGTGTCCACAGCGGCTTGCTTAGCTCGGCTGGCCAGCCAGCACACGCAGACAGCGACATGGATTGCGTGCGCGGTGCGGCGCTGGTTGTCCTCCCTCGTTGCTTTGTCCACTTTGTTGATTTCTAGTGCGTACCCACGATGCATGAAATGATGTCCGTCCGTCCATCCGATCCGTCAGTTTATCCTTTGCTCTTTCATTGCCAAACTGCTGTGTACGTTGGCTGTCTGTCGTTGGTTTGCGGCCGGGCGGGCGGCGGGAGGGAGGGGAGAGAGGGAGGGGGAGGGGGAGTTGGTTGGCTTTCAAGTACTCGCTTCCTTCCTTGATTCGTCGGTCGATCATCATCACCATCTTGTCGCTCGTACGCAATTGACAGACAGACAGACCGACCCATGTCGTGTGTTGTGTTGTGTCTGCATGCGCGCCGTGCTGTGTCGTGTTGTGTTGTGTTGTGTTATGTTGTGGCCAGAGGGGGACCCGTGGGTGGGTGGGTGGTGTGCGATTCGTTGTGTTGTGGCCGGTACGTTTCAATGGTGGATGGGCAGAGAGAGAGAGAGAGAGAGGAGAGCGACTGGGCGGGGGAGGGGTAGGGGAGGGTGTGATTTTCTTGAGAGCGCGCGTCTGACAGTCAGTCAAGGCCGCCTTTCTTCCTTCCTTAATTCTTGTTTTGTTGTCGTCACCAGCAGGCACCTCACCCCACACGGACACGCACACGCGACGGATTCATTTCTTATCAGCCATGGTACATCCCTTCCTCGTGTCGTGGGTGGGGCATTTTTGGTTTACTGGAAGAATGGGCAATTGGGAGGGAGGGGGAGTGTTGCCGTCTTGCCTTGCCTTGCCTTGCCTTGCCTGCGTGCGTGTGTGTGTGTGCGTCGTGGGAGTCTGGCCGCATTCTGTCTTTCATCTTTTTCTCCCTCCCTCGGTTGGTTGCCTTTGCTGTGTAGCCATTTTTAAGCACCACGATCGGCCTGCCTTCCTTCCCTCCGCTTGTCGATCGGCAATTCTTTCCACACACAGAGAGTGGTGTTGGTGTGCGCGCGCTGATGGCGTGGTCACTTTGCGTGTGTGTGCGTGTTATGTTCGCGTGTTGATGATGGCCTCTTGGTGGGGCCCCTGTTGCGTGTGTGAGTGTGTGTGTGTGGTTGGTCGGGCGGGGAGGGATGGCCTGGGAGGGAGGAATGGTCACTTGGCTGCGTACATACGTCGTGTACAGAATATATTGGATCTGTGCGTGTCTGTCTGCGTGCCGTGCGTGGCCGGCCACGTTGTATCTATCTAATGTCTCCACTCCACCGCACCGATCCAATCCACACACTCACTCACTGCATCCCATTCCATGCCATCACATCAATCACCCATTTGTCATGTCATGTCATGTCATGGAACGGAATGAAATGGCGTGTGTCTTGTGTGTGCTCATGATATGCACTCATATTGGTGTCGTCCAGAGTCGATGGCGCCGCACCGCCCCACCCCACCCAGCCACCTACCTGCCCACCTACCCCGCCCTGCTAGCTTGCTAGCGGTTGGTTGGTTTGTCTGTGCTATGTATGATGATGATGTTTCTATCCATCTATCTGTGTGTGTATGACGGACGAGTGCTTGTGGTACATGTAAGACACATACATACATACAGACAGATCTACCTACCTACCTGCCTCATGACATTCGTGGCTATGGAGAGGAGAGAGGTAGAGAGTTGTTCGGGATGGGGATGGGGCGAGCGGGGGAGAGGGAGAGAGGGAGAGAGAAGATTCGGCTGCTGCAGCATTGTGGCCATGGGACGCCCCACTCACCCACCCACCCACGTACTAGCTCACTGTCTGTGTGCCTACGTGCTGTCTGTCTGTCTGTCTGTCTGTCGTCATCCGCCATGCCTTGGGTTCAAACAATCCAGGCGCAACCCCACCCACCCACCCCACCCACGCCGCCTCGTTTGCCCTCCCCTGCCCTGCCTGTGTCATGCCTGCCTGCCTGCCTACCCACCTGCCTCTCCTCTCGATTATGGGTCATGCACTCGATCTGTCGCTATGACTGACATTGGTATTTGTGCGATTGTGCCCGGCTGGCTGGCCGGCCGGCTGGCTGGCAGGAGGCGCGGAGGGCGGGGCCGGGCCGGGCCGGGGCAGAACAAGGGTATTCCGTCGGCAATAGGACGGTGCCACAAAGATGGACAGACAGACAAGAGAGACGGCTGAGCACCCCCCATAGGCCAGTGGGTGGGTCGGTGGGTGGGTTGTGCTGCCGATGATGTGATGCCGTCCGTGAGGATTGACGGATGGGTGATGGGTATGGGTATGGGAGGGATGGGTGGGTTGGGTGCATCTTGTTGACTCAATGATGGTCGCTCAACTCGCGATAACTAACATGACTTCCGTGCTGTTTGACTACTGTCTTACCTCCTGGCTATGCTGCTGCTGCCTGTGTAGAGCCCATGTCTCCGTGTCTGTGTCTGTGTGTGGTGAGTGCTTGATGCTTGATGCAATCAATGGATGGACGGACGGACGGATGTGTGTATGGTGCATAGTGCCTTGCCTGCCTTGCCTGCCTTGCCTGCCTTGCTGCCTGTGCGTACCTACAGAAGATTGTAGAGAGGTCATGTAACTGCGTGCGATGCGTGTGTGTGTGTACGTGTGATGGATGAGTTGAGTGAGCGCTAAGTGGCTGGGGAAATGGCGGAGGGCGAGCGAGATGATGCAACAGACAGACGAATGAGCTAGGACAACGAAGTGGTGACGTGTGTGCGGTGGGTGGATGGGTGGGTGTATGTGTGTTCCTTCCTTCCTCGGTTGGTGTCTGTCGTGTCAGCTGTCTTATCTGCCTTACCTGACCTGACCTGGCCATCAATGTGGGCGTGATGTGGCGTGAACTCGCGCCTCACAGACGATTTTCCCAATCTGCCTGTCTGCCTGTCTGTCTTGCCGTTTCAATGAGAGGGGCCGGGGTGTGTCTGTCTGACCTTTGCCGCCTACCTGTCTCCCTCCCTGCCTGCCTGCCTGTCTGTCTGTGGTTCACACGTGCACACTTGCGGGTGCGTCCGTGCGTTGCTGCCCGGTGCAATTGTAGGCCTGCCTCGGGCAGCGACGGCCCTGCTGCCTGCCTGCCTTTCTGCCTTTCTGCCTGCCTCCCTGCCTAAGTGACCGAGCCCACTCACTAATACTGCGTGTACGATATCCCTCCTCGATCGGTAGCTGCAAGCTGACTGCCTGCAATTGAGCGCGTCGTTCGTCGGTGCCGGCGTGCGTGGCGTACGTGGAAGAGACGATCCGTCGTGTGGTGTGAGATAGCGGAGACGGCCGGCCGCGGACGAACCGATAGCTGGATGGTTGGATGGTGGATGGCTTGACAGGTTGGTTGGTTAGTGCAATCCATTCGTTGGTGCGATGCGGTGCGTGTGAGTGGCGAGAGGCAGACACGGACGTGGATGCGTCCATGCGCCATGCGTGGTCTCAGTGAGTGAGTGACTGACGGACACTCGGTGGTGTGAAATTCAGTAACGCCTGTATCAGCAGGTAGGGAGGTATTCACAGCAAACAATGTGTAAGCATGTATACACAAGTCTGTTCGTTGCGATCACATGTGAGATTAGAGACGGCTGGCTGGCTGGCTGGCTCGTGGATCGGTCACTTGAGGGCGTAGTATTGCTCTTCTCGGTAGAGAGCCAGCAAACACAGCTGCATCGCCCCGCACACCACCCCAAGCAGATTAGGAACTATCAACACCTGCACACAACACAACACAGCACAACACACCACAACAGAACCAATCCACTCACACAGACGAGCAGTCCACAATGCCTCTGTTCTCCTCTCCCTCCTGTGATTGCCATTCTCGTCACCTACCTCATCGGATACGGCCAGCCCATAAATGAGCCACACGGATGCGGAAGCGAAGCCCATACAGCACAGAGGTGCCGGCAGCGCCCGTGTGCTCCGGCTGGCAATCACCTCCCACACCGTGCTCAGCGGCGCGGCATACGTGAGACTCTGCAGCACAGAGCACACCGCGCCGACCACCTGCACGGCCCGTTGACGTGGACAGGCGAGTGTGAGTGCGAAGAGGGCGAGGAGGGAGACGGCAATGGCCTGGAGGTAGACCTTCAGCCGCATCAGGCTGGCCGAGTTGTGGCAGTAGAAGTGGAACAGCGCCACGTAGGCGAAGCCCAGGGAGACGCCCACGATGTTGGTCCACACGAGGGCCAAATCACCTGACATGTGCCCGTAGCTGAGGGACATACACAGCAAGTAGTGCATGCCATGGCATGAATGAATGACTGATTCATTTCTGTGTGCTTGTGTGTGAATGAGTGAGTGAGTGGCGAGGGACGGACATGAACCAGAGTCCGCTTGAGAGTGCGAGCATGACGAACGGCAGGCCGTCGAGCGCCCCAGTGGATGAGCTGGCGTGCACCTGCATGAGCGTCGGGATGGGCGAAAGCTGCATCGACACGCCACTCAGGATTGCCGCGGCGTTGAGAGCCAGCACCCATCCCGCCTTCCCGAACACCGGCCAAGTCACGCCCTTGTGCATGAGCCGCCACACATGGGAGGTGGTCCACGAGTAAAGCGATGAGGGCGATAACACAAGCAGGCTGCTGTACAGCGCCACGAGCACCATAGAGAGATAAGATAAGAAGGTAATTAATTAAGGCGATGGATGGATGGATGAGTCAGCCCATGAGTGGCTGAAACTCGGCGAGGGATGGATGGATGGGCCCTGGGGAATGGAGCTCGTAGGGCCCGGAAAGCGCCGATGGCAGCTAGAGGGGGACGGTAAGTGCAATCGTGCAATGATGAGGGAACGCCGACGAGTATAGAGCGTCACCAGCAGTTCCGAAGGGCTCAAGGATGCTGAAACGAAGCTGCGCCGAGTCCTCCGACAAAGAAAGGAAAAACTAGAAAACTTTACCAGGCGAGCTCAAACTGGAGCTCGCAAGCCTTGTGGCGCTGGGGCGATGAGTGTTGAGGCATTTCTCACGCTCAAGTGACTCACAGTGGTTCCGTGGTCTGTCAGACTGAAGCAATCAGGAGCATATTTCACCGCTTCGCTGTCAGTTTTGCTGCCTCGTCCGCGTGTTTGGTGTTGGTTGGTGGTGCTGCCCCTGTCCCTTCTGCGGTCTTCTGCATTGCCCCTGTGACCCCTTCTCTCCCCCTCGCCCCGTCACCCCTCGGCTGATTGTTCGTCAGTCAGCAACATGGGCTGCACGCAGAGCAGCGTCGATGACAAGGCCAAGAAGAAGGAAGAGGGCGCCACGGGAGCCCCGCCACCAGCTGCTGCCAAGTCGGGCGCGGCAACCACCAGCAACGGAGCGCCCTCCGCCGCTGTGGCACAGCACAATGAGCCCGCCATGGCGACTCTCAAGGCCACTCCCGGCATGTTCATCGGTCAGCAGGCGGGCAAGATCACCGACAAGTACAAGATGGGGGCCAAGCTGGGCGACGGGGCGTTCGGGTGCGTGAGGAGGGCCATCCACCGCGACACCGGTCAGGTGCGGGCCATCAAGACGATCGCCAAGAGCAGCGTCGAGAAGGCCGAGGAGCGCGACAAGCTGTTTGCCGAGGTGTCGGTGCTGAAGCAGCTGGACCACCCCAACATCATGAAGCTGTACGAGTTCTACGAGGACCAGCGGTCCTACCACCTGGTCACCGAGCTCTACACGGGCGGGGAGCTCTTCGACAAGATCGTCGCGCAGTCCCACTTCAGCGAGGAGGACGCGGCCGTCATCATGAAGCAGGTCCTCTCCGGTATCACATACTGCCACAAACGAAACATTGTCCACAGGTACACTCACGCACGCACACACACACAGACGGACGGGCACCAGCAGCATCGATGTGTGTGTATGTGTATGTGTCTGTATGTGTGTGTGTTGGGGATGGTGTTGTCCACCATCCATCCAGAGATCTGAAGCCCGAGAATCTGTTGCTGGAGTCGAAGGACCCCGAGGCGCCGATCAAGATCATCGACTTCGGCACGTCGCGCATGTTCGACAGCCAGATGGGCAAGAAGATGCACCAGAAGCTCGGCACGCCCTACTACGTGGTCAGTCAGTTCGTCACACAAGGCAGAGCCATCAGTGTGTCTGCATCTCTCTCTTTCTCTCTCTCTGTGTGTGCGTGTGTGCCTCGGCAGGCTCCAGAGGTGCTCAAGAAGAAGTACGACGAGAAATGCGACGTCTGGTCCTGCGGCGTCATCCTATACATCTTGCTTGTCGGTCAGTGAGTGAGTGAACCTGCCTGCCTGCCTGCCTGCCTGCCTGCCGGTCTGTCTGTCTGGCTGTCTGTCTGTCAGCCACCTACACACACATACGGCGGGTCGATGATTGGCCTCTGTGTGTGTGTGTGTGTGTGTGTGTGATGTGCACTGTAGGCTACCCCCCGTTTGGCGGTCACAGTGACGATGAGATCCTCAGCAAAGTCGCAAAGGGACAGGTATGCAGACACCCAACCAGCACAGCGGCCAGACAGACGATGGCGTACCTGTGCATGTGCGTGTGTAGGTGTCGATGTCAGCTCCCGAGTGGCGTGCGATCAGCAAGGAGGCCAAGGAGCTCATCAAGAAACTGCTCACATACGACCCACAAAAGAGAATACCAGCAGAACACGTAAGCAATGATGAAGGGCCCAACACATGCATGCACAAGATGGCAGTAAGTACATCCATCGGATCGGTACGTGTGTGTGTCTGTCTGTCTGTCTGTCTGTATACGAGGTTGCAGGCGTTGCAGGACGAGTGGATTGTCAAGAAGTCGCAGAGGAAGGGGCCGAAGGTGGAGGGATCGGTGCTCAAGACGTCACTCAACAACCTCAAGAAGTTCACGTGCGTGTGATGTGCACACACGTGTGTTCGTTTCTGAGTCACCACCCCACGCACACACACGCACGCCTCTTGTCTTGTTGGTTGGCTCTTGGCTCCGTCAGATCCAATCAGCGGTTGCAGCAGGCGGCGCTGACATTCATCGCCTCCCAGGTCAGTCAGTTCAGTCGACCTACCTTGCAAGCCACAGGCAGACAGACAGACAGGCTGCATGATTGATTGATCGAGGAGTGTGCGTGTCTCTGCAGTTGGTGACCAAGGACGAGAAGGACGAGTTGACAAAGACATTCAAACTGCTCGACGCTAACGGTGCGTGTGGGCTGGCGGGCGGGCGGGCTGGGTGGATCGGATCGGTGCTCATTGCGTTGTGTCGTGTCGTGTCGTCTTGTGTTGTTCCACCCACCCAGGTGACGGCATGTTGAGCAGGGAGGAGCTGCTGGACGGATACAGCAAGGTAGGCCTTGTGTGTGCAGGAGGCAGGCACGGCCACGCACGTCTCTCTGGGCTGTGTGTTGCGTGCGTGTGTGTGCAGATTTTGGGTGATGCTGATGCGGCCGCTGAGGAGGTGGATATGATCCTCAAGCAGGCCGACACGGACGGATCAGGCTCTATCGACTACACTGGTGGGTGGAACGAACAGGCACACACCACACAGACCAAATCACACAGACGCAGCGACAGAGGGAGGGACAAGCGGCGCTCTCACTGGATTGCACGGCATGAACCTGTCACTCCTTTTCTTCTCATGGACGGACGGATTCAGAGTTTTTGGTGGCGACGATGGATCGGCGCACATTGTGTTCAGAGAAGAAGCTGGAGGCCGCCTTTAACATGTTCGACACGGACGGATCCGGCAAAATCGACGCATCAGAACTCTCAAAGGTCAGGCACACCACACGCCTCTGAACAATCAATCTGCCTCTGTACGTGTGTGTGTGTTTGTGTGCGGTTTCTACAGATATTCGGGGTAGGTGAGAAGATGGATCCTAAGGTTTGGGAGGAGATCGCCGCAGAGGCAGACAAAAATGGCGACGGAGAGGTGAGTGGTGAATGGGTGGGTGGGAATGCAGATCGAGACGGACGCAGCCGGAAAGGGCCGGCCACATGTGCCCATTGTGTGTGTGTGTGGGTGGGTGTGTCGGTTTGCGTATCTATCAGGTTGATTTGGATGAGTTCAAGACCATGATGATCAAGCTGCTCAAGAGCTGATAAACCCACTCAGACACACAACACAACACAGCTTCACGTATATATACACATCTTCTTCTATCTCTTCATCTTCATCTTGCTCGCTGGTTGCTTTTGTTCCGTTCTGCCCGCCTGCAGTGAGTGGTCGTGTGCACCAGCTAAGCGACTGACTGACTGACTGACTGCATTTCGTTCACCTCATGGCATGACCCGTCCACCCACCCACCCACCCACCCATCCATAGGCTGAGCGACCGAATCATGCACTCGTTGGGGGGCCGGGAGTGGCTGTGTGCGGGTGGCTGGCTGGCTGGGTCGCTGACTGGCTGGCCGGCCTCTTCTCGATTGCTTGTCTTGTCTGTCTGTCTGCCGGTCGGTCGGTCCTGTACAGCGAAGAGCGCGGGCCGCTACACTCACTTAAGGACGAAGGGGTAGGGAAACCGGCAAGGGGGAGAGAGGGGGTATCGATGGAACAGTGGGTGGTGAGTGTGTGCCCATTCGGTGCGTGGTGTGGGTGCGTGTGTGCGGTGCGTGAGTGGCTGTCGCGTGTGTGTGGACTGCTGCACGCTTTGAAGATGTGTGGTGGATGGATGGATGGGTGGATGGATGGATCGACGACTGCCGCTCGCTCCTCCACACGCGCAAACACAAACAGAAACAAACACCTACTAACCTGACTGACAGCTGTGTGTTTGTGTCTGTAAAGGGAGCCATAGATAGATAGATAGCCACACGAGAGAAGACACACACACCGACCGACCGAGGCACACAGACAGACAGACGGACAGAAAGGCCTGCCACTTTGGCTAGTGTCAGTTTAGCACTTTGTGTGTGTGAGTGGAGTGAGCGAGACGAAGGAAGGTCGTGTCGTGTTGCCCTCAGACTATGTTTGTATGTGCGTAATCCTCTCTGAACGAATGGCTGGACCGACCGACCAATCGATGATTCATTCGTTGATCTTTTTCTACACCCGACACGCCCGCCACGTTGTTTGCAAACGAAGGGACGGTGCAGACAGGCAGGCAGGCACTCGCTAACTCGCTGACTGGCTGGCTGATTGTCAGTGTATTATTTGTCGTTTTGTGCACTGGCCGGCTGGTCACGTCACCCGCTCGATCTATCGTCGTTTGCACCCTCTCACGTCGGTCACGTCAGTCACGTCACACTAGTCCAGCCAGTCACTCGGCTAATGATGACAGGGGCATGGAGGTCACATTACAGGGGGAGGGGGGGGG